AGTTGGGATGATTCGAAGGGAGAGCTATTTTCTGGATTTCAAGTGCTTGTTCGTAAAATGAAAGTGCTTTCGAGTGCTCACCCAGGTTATCATACACTGCACCGATGTTGTTGTAGGAAGTAGCCAAGTCGGGATGATTCGGAGGGAGAGATATTTTCCGTACTTCAAGTGCTCGTTCGTAAAATGAGAGTGCTTTCGAATACTCGCCCATCCTCTGATATACATTACCAATGTTGTTGTAGGACGTAGACAAGTCGGGATGATTCAAAGGAAGAGCTATTTTCCGAATATCAAGTGCTCGTTCGTATGATGAAAGTGTTTTCGAGTACTCGCCCATGTCATCATACACATTACCAATGTTGAGATAGGAAGAAGCCAAGGCGGGATGATTTGAAGGGAGAGCTATTTTCTGAATTTCAAGTGCTTGTTCGCACGATGAAAGCGCCTTCGAGTATTCGCCCATGTGCCTATATACGATACCAATATTGAGGTAGGAAGCAGCCAATTCGGGATGATTCGAAGGAAGAACTATCTTCTGGATTTCAAGTGCGCGTTCGTATGATGAAAGTGCTTTTGAGTACTCGCCCATGTTATCATACACTGTACCGATGTTAATGCAGGAAGCAGCCAAGTCAGGATGATTCTGAGGAAGAATTATTTTCCGGATTTCAAGTGCTCGTTGATTCGATAAAAGTGCTTTCGAGTACTCGCCCATGTTATCATACACTATACCTATGTTGTTGTAGGACGAAGCCAAGTCAGAATGGTTCTGAGGAAGAACTGTTTTCCGGATTTCAAGTGCTCGTTGGTTCGATAAAAGCGCTTTCGAGTACTCACCCATATCATAATATGTCGAGCCAAGTTGATGATAGTAATCCGCTCGGTCCGTATCAGACGTTTCCTTTAGGAGTAGTATGTTGTAGAGTTTTTCAGCTTTTGCAGGCTCACCTAGTTTACGAAATATGAAAGCTACTTGTGACCATCCTCGTCTTGATGCTTTCGAGTTGAATTCTTCGTGTATATGCGCTGTAAGTGTGTTAAGTTCATGATTGTCATCATCCACAATAGTGAGATTAACTTGCCATAAGCGATCGGTATTTTCGTCTTCTAGTCGTTCAATATGATCGATCCGAAAAATTGTATGTGTTGTAAACAGTATTTCTTCCTCTTGTTTTTGGTGGTAGCCAACTTGACTTACTTCTGCAAATGATGTTGATGATTTCGCGCAAATATTCGTATCAATGTTCATAATAAATAGGATGCCGACTGAATTAAGATTCTTTGTTGCTGGGCGTGCAAAGTTTTCTAATGAAGTCTTGTGATTCCGACTTGTCGATAGAAAATTATTAAACGACATAAGTCCTGTCTCGTTTTTTTTAATTTTTTCAAAGTCTTCCATGGACAAACCTTGTCCACGAAACACTTGAAATTTTTCTGGCACGCTGTCTTGTTGTTCGCAATGTAATTCTGATATATGATTATGTAACTGGCGCATGAAAAAACCCATCTTAAGGATAATATCCACGTCCATTTGTCGAAGTCCACGATTGAGCATTGGACCAATAAATGTTTCAGCTGTATACCACCATATTGGTGTATGATTATGGTACTCACGTTCAACTTGTGTGATTTGATCTTCAGGAATATCATCCTGTTCACGACAATAATCAACCAAGGCTTTGATATCTATCTTATCATCATCTTCGATCTCCAAAAGTGCTTCCTTTAGCAATTGTGTATACATAAATAGAGGATCGAGACCATTAAAACTAATTGAGATCATAGCTCGATCACATTGTTCTCGGTCAATTTCAAGTGCTTGAGAAATTGGTTTAATATCAGTGTAAACGCCGTTTACTTTCGGTATAGTTTTGGTCCATTCTTCATGAAATGATATATTATCACAGAAAACATATATTGATTCCAGCTGTGGTATTGTTTGCAGTTCTGATGCTACTTGCCGTCCTAATTCAGTAGACACAATCATAAATATTTTTTCTTTTTTAATTTCATTAAGAAATTTGAAACATTCTTCGGCATCCGTAAATGTCGTAATGGATGCTACAACATGTCGCAGATGTTCTAGTAACCTTTTGAAATCTTCTTTCGTTTCATCAATATTCGCATCTAACCAGACCAGGATAAAATTTTGCATAATCCGAGGAATTGGTCGAGGAAGCACAGTGCTTCTTTGCATGAGTGTTGACGCTGCTGCTACATTACAATCTGAAGAAGAAGGAGCAGTTGCTGACAACGATAATAATGATTTGTTTATAGTGAACGATGATAAGTTGGAGGCACTAGCAGTTGGTTTTGTGTTTTTCGTGTCCATGATAATAATGTTAATGATTATTTTAATAAAAGAATATTATCTAAATAATAATTTCAATTCTTGTTAGAGATGATGTAATAACTGGAAAAAAAAGAATTCGTCTACCACACTTATTTTTTCTCTGCATGTATTTGGATTTTCGTTGTTTTTCTGGAAACTTTCTACCATGGAAATAAAACACACTTTCATCTGTTTATATATTTTTAATAAAGGAAGATTCGATGAAAAGTTATCTTCAAATTAATCAAGTTTCATCCAGGAAGAGAGAGACAAAAAAACTAGTTTTTCTCGATGTTCAAATCAAACAACACCTGCACAATAATCTCATCGTCATCTCATCATCATAAAATGACTTTTTCATTTGTTTTTTTAAAGAAACTTTAGAAAAAAACTTCATGTTTCATTTTTTTTTCGGAACAGATTATTATCGAGAATAGTTTTATATATAGGAAAATGATATCCATTGAACGTGGATCGAAATTCAATCGTTCAATGTGTATCATTTGTTGAGAATACTTGTTTGTAGTGAGTCGATTGAATTGGACTATTCACTGCAATAATTTTTCATACAAAAAGAAACGCATTCAAAACCATAAAAAATAGATGATCAATGAAATTTCTAACTTGCTAATATCAATATGATTTCAATGATAAGGAAAGTCATTTATTAGTATGTAAGCCCGTGTAGACCGGTTAATATTGGTTACTAAGAAATAATCACCGATTAAATCGACTGCTGGAATAAGAGTAATCGATTAGAACGGTTTATTGTCATCGATAAGATTTTTGGTGGGACTATTTAACTTAGAAGTGTTGCAGTTTATCCTATCGTTTGGATATGCTGCATATCTTAAATCAAGCTTTTCTTTTTTAATATTACTTTCTGGTAATGGAAAGTCTCATGCATATACCATATAATATCATTTTGTTAGTAGTTATTATTTATTTCCTACCTTAAATTTATCTCTAATTGCATAATGTTGTAAAATAAACGCACTTACATATCAAGTGATACTAAAATGTGCAAGTCTGTTGTGTATGTTAGCAATTGATTTTACTTCGTATTTATTGCTGACGAAGTTACTTGGTTTTTTCCCATTTCCAACGTTTACACAAATCAATGAGGCTTGACATTTTGATCAGATAGGTAGCCTTTTTATTGATTCGCACATCATTATATTTCTTTCGTTCTTTCAATATTCTTCTCTGCTTTTTTTTGCTTACCTTTGTGTCTCGTGTTGTTACGATGAGAAAATATGCATCGATATTCACGTAAATGTCAGTGTCGCAAATGAACATCGAAATTTTTTTCTAATCAATAAACAAAATAATAGTCTTCTAACTTTTATATAGGACTCATGGTATAACAAATAATATAAGAAAATTGCATTTAAAGCATTAATTAGAAAATATTCATCAAAAACAATTCATGTATTCGATTGTTACGAAAAAAATCAAAATCATTTGATTACTGTCATTAGCTTTGCATGATTTTCATTTTATTAATGTACTTAGGTCAGTCCAAAAGTAGTGAGAGTAACGCTTTAATGCAGAGCTGGGCAACTCAATTCAAAAAACGGCCAACTCAACTCAATTCAATTCAATTCATGAACCTAGTTGAATTGAGTTGACAAAAATTTTTCAGGGACTACTAGTTGAATTGAATTGAGTTGAAACATTTTTCAAAGATATACTAATTTCTTTGAATTGAATTGGACAAAACTTTCAAACATCTATGAATTGAATTGAATTGAGTTGGGAAAAAAATCTTAATCAAGGAATTGAATTGAATTGAGTTGGAAAAAGATATCCTGAGATCACTGAATCGAATTGAGTTGAATTGAAAAAATTTTCAGAGCCTACTGAATTGAATTGAATTGAATTGAAAAAAATCTCGAGGTCACTGAATCGAATTGAGTTGAATTGAATATCTTTTTTGGAGATGAGTGAATTGAATTGAATTGAGTTGAAAAAAAACTTCGCAGATCACTGAATTGAATCGAGTTGAATTGAAGCATTTTTCTCGAGATTTGCAAATTCATTTCAATTCAATTCAACTCAAAGATATTTCTGAAACTGTTGTTGTATGATCAATTTACGCATTAAAACTAATGAAAGATCAAGGTATGAACTATGATCTATTTTTGTAATTTTTCTTCCGAGCTTCTTTTTCAACATAGCTGCATTATACTTGCATTTTGCTGTATATTTCTGATGCGCTTCAGTCAACTTATCACTATTTTCTTTTCTTTTCTGATGGTTACGTATAATTTAAGCACCTAAGCTCTCAACGTATCGATTTGTTTTCCTATTCTTTCAAGTGACAGATACAATGTCCATTTATCCTTGTCTTATAGGGCAATATCATGCAAATCATTTGTTTGTTGACTGGTATGTTATCTATTGGGAACGCATACCTCTTATACTGTATACCTCTTTTGTTCATTATTGTTTGATTCAGTTATGACCTTCTCTTGTAGTCTGGCAATATTGTTGAATAAATAGTCCAAATCGTTCTACAGTAGATAACTCTAGTTAAAGTCAGACGTGAAGGAAACGAAATACCGAGGTGAGTTGAATTCAATTCAATTCAATTCAGTAATAGAGTTGAATTGAATTGAGTTGAAAAAAAAGTTCGTGTTCGATGAGTTGAATTGAATTGAATTCAGAAAAAACTTTCGAAGTCATTGAATTGAGTGGAATTGAGTTGGAAACAATTTTCAAGATACATGAATTGAGTTGAATTGAATTGGAAAAGTTTTTCAGGATACATGAATTGAGTTTTAATAAAACTGTCAATCAGCATGAATTGAGTTGAATTGAATTGAAATATTTTTCCAAGATGTATGAATTGAATTGAATTGAATTGGAATATTTTTTCCAAGATGCATGAATTGAATTGAGTTGAGTTGAGAAAAAATTTATAGTATCTATGAGTTGAATTGAATTGAGTTGAACTTTTCTTTCAATGAATTGAATTGAATTGACCACCATTTTGAGTTGAGTTGCCCAGCTCTGCTTTAATGCTATATCGTAAACTGAATGAGAGTTTCTTTTATTATGAAACGATAAAGAAAAAAATGCTCTGTCTTTCTATGCTATTTGATCATACTTTAGTTAATATTATGATAGAAAAGTTTTCATAATATTCGTTTTGGTATTATATGTTTTGGTTACGACACTACATATTAGTCATCGATATGAGTTCGATTCTTAATTCTTTTTTCTTTATTCTGCTTCTTTCTTTCTCTTATGTTTTTCTTTATTATCTTTTCGATTGCCAGACATCTTTCTGTGTGTATTAATACACATGTCTTTTTCCTGTCTGTAAAGAAACTTTGTCCAGTAACGTGTTTGTAGGAAAGTTTGTGATATAGTGACTTAGTGGTCACGTGCCTGCCCACGTGACTCTCCGTTGTCCAATGTCACATGAACATTCTAGAACTTTCTATTGTAATCTTATCCTTTCGGTCATATAAAAGTGTTCTCGCGCAATGTTCTGGAATGTTCCATTTCAGATACTATATATACCCCTCCTTGTCACTGTATCTTTCAGTTGTTCTATCTTCTACTTCTCAGTCAGTTACTCTATACAGGATGTGGGTGGTGT